AAAAATTGTTCAACAAACAATCATGTGAAATGACCCTACACAAGCTGACGGACAGGATCAAAAGCCAGTGGTCGGCATCGTTGCGAATCGTGAACGACAACGTCATGAAAAAGGTAGCAAAAAAAAACGAAAAATGAAAAAAAGAATGGAGGGGCGTGAACTATCCTTGAAATGACACCCAGTGCACCGCCCGTGCAAGCGCACCCGCCTGGGTGTTGGGGTTTGCTGTCCCGTCACAACCTCGCAATCAATCCCTGGCCAATGCCGATGCGATCTTAAGCAGAGCATCGCACAACATCCGTTGCCCGACGTCGAGAACTCCGCATTGCCTCTCCTGTGTTCTCGCCTCCCTCTCCATTATGTCGCACTGTCGTTGGAGCACGTCTCACTGCCGCTTGCTCGCGCGGTCTCCGGAGTCCGCGACAACGGTCGAGTGCGTTTTCATCACATCCGTCACCGCCTCGAAAGCCAGTTGCCTGGCGTTCTTCCGCTTGCCTTGAATGCCGTTTGAAGACGACCTGCTGCCACACCCGTCCCCCGTATCCGCTCCCTTGTTCTCGCTCGCCGAAGTGTCTGCTTCCCCACCACCCGCTGCCGCTTGGCTTTGCTCACCTTGTTGTGATTGTTGTCCTTGTGTGTTGCTGGTGTCCACGAGATTCGGCGGGTGGACGGCCTGGTTGTTCCCCTGCATTATGTGGATCGCGTCGTATAGAGTGCGGTCTAGATTGAACTTGTACCCTTTCTCCTTCCGTGCTTTCATTGTCATGAGATTGTCCCCCGATGCGCCCTGTCGTCCTTCCACGCCGGATGCGAGCACCGGCCAGGTGGCACGGGTGCAGAGCTATGAGCAGCACCACCACCCCAATCAGGATAATTAGCAGAGTTAGCTTCCTCACAATGTCAGCCATGTGCGCCTGCAGCTAAACACGACACACAGATCTGCTACCTTTCAATGACGACGAAGTGCGGAAGCAGAGGACTGCAATATAGCGGTTCGCGGAAAACGCCCGGCAGGCGACGGGCAGCGCATACCACCCAATTCGAAACAGACGCCGCCAACGGCACTCGCGCGCCCGCCTCCGCGGGGACCCTCGCAACGGTCGTCTCCACACGCAAGCCGAAACGGCTACCCGGAGGTACCGCATGGCCACAGCCGGGCCACGGCTCTGCCTGTTGGAGACTACCGTGGAACCGCTGTCCCATGGTGTACCGGACAACCCAGCGTTTGGACCAGGAACGCGAAGGAAACACCTGAGGAAAAAAGAAAACAAAAATGTCGGCGGTTTTCCCGTGGAAAGTAAGGGCGCCACCCCTACTTTCAAGTCACCTCCACGGCCGCTCTTGCGTTTGCGTCCGTTTTGGCTGGGGGGCCCTCATTTTTGTAGGGCACGCCCTTACGCCCGCGAATGTGAAAACAAATTTCGCATCTTTTTTTTCCTCATTAGGGAGAGGTGGAACGATGAAACCCTTACATGTAAGGGTTTTCTAGTGGTGTCGAACGAGGCCCAAAGTGCAACCGTTGAAAATGCGTGACAGTTCTTGAAACCGTTCATCGCTTCAAGAGTGGTGTGGCGAGGCCCTACCGTGCACCGAGGCCTTATGCCCTCACCAGATGTGAAACGCACAGAAGCGCGACTCCTCTTGACTCTTGATGGGCCTAGAATCTGGCTGGCGGTATGGGTAGGGCGTACCGCCTCCCTCCTAAAGAATAAATAACGGTATTGCGTGCGTTTGCCCGCGCCTGCGTGTACGTGCTTGCGTCAGCGCGCGCGTGTGTGTGGGTGTGTGTATGTGAGCGTGTGTGTGTGTGTGTGCGTGTGTGCGAGAGAGAGAGAGAGAGAGAGAGAGAGAGAGATGCGGCGGGGAAGCATGGGCGGTATGCTGCTCTAGATTGATGCTGGAAGTCGCGAAGACTCGGCACTTGTTAACTTCGTCGGAGGAGCGGTGAACAGCTCGGCGCGAAAGAGGTTAGCCGGGATTTTATCCTTTCCTTTTCCTCCTCCTCCTCCTCCTCCTCCTCCTCGTCGTACTCCTCCCTCCTTCGCCGTCGGACTCTGCATCTTCCGACATCCTGGCGCAATACCCATCTTCACCTGATTTACCCGTTTCTCTTGCCCCATGGCGACTTCCCCTGGCGCTGTCCTTCCCTCGCAATACCCATCTTGAGATTTTTTAAGCTCGGGCTGCCTTAGCTCTGTCACGGCGCACCTCCCCCGCCCTGCTTGCGTGCGTGCCATTACTAGTACTATTATTTTCAATCTCTCTCAAGGATATCGTTGGTTGAGTCCAGACGAGCAGCTTAAAGTTTTGGTTATTTGTGTTTACCTGTCACACACACACACACACGCCCACAGAGAGAGAGAGAGAGAGAGAGAGAGAGAGAGAGAGAGAGAGAGAGAGAGAGAGAGAGAGAGAGAGAGAGAGAGAGAGAGAGAGAGAG